TGGAAGAAGCTCTGGATTGCTTCAAAGAGGTTGGATTGTTGCCGTTTGTCACCGACCAAGAGCGCTGGAATGAAGAGTTGCTGCTCCAATTCTATGCCACACTTCACATCCGTGGGTACAACAGAGATCCGAAGACTTGGGTTCTGGAGTGGATGACAGGAAATGTTCATCACGAAGCCAAAGCCTTAGATATCATTGAGCTCACTGGTCTGCCCACTCCTGGCGATCTCTACGAACCTGGCTGTCAGCTTCACAGTGAAGCTATGGAGAGCATCTTTCAGAAGCCTGAACCAAACATGAGTCAGATGCTCAGTATGATGAAGCCATTGCCACAAGATGCTGCATATCCTAAGGAGTTCCTTGTTGAAGACCTTGAGTATCTGCCAAGGACTATTTATCACATCATAAGGCGAACTCTCTGGCCTATCGAAGGACATTCTCCACATGCCAAGCTGGAAGGTGCAATGAAGACTTTGGTCTTCTATATTCTTCATGGCAAATGCTTCAATGCACAGGACTTCTTCATCTGCCAACTTGTTGCATCAGGCTCTGATCTATTTGGCTTGAAGTTCTACGCTCCATGGATAATGCGGCTGATTAAACTCCACTCCGCTATCTCATATCAGCCATCTGCTCGCAATCATCGGATCTTTCTGCCTGATGTGGATATGTCCGTTGAAGCTATTTATCCTGAGCCTGCTAAGGAGCCTCTTAGTCTTCAGAATGCGGAGCATCAAATTTTTTTCTCAGAACATTGAAGGAGTTGAAGCAGTCACTCGTGTTTATCCGTTGGCTGGAACTACACGTGCACCACATCCTGCCCTTACTGAAGCCACCGATAGCACAATTGCCCAACGACCCAAGAAGCGCACTCGTGTCCTTAATGACCGAGAGCTTCTGGTGGCTCTTCATCAGAAACAGGATAGGCATCATGATTGGCTGAAGCGCCAAATGCAAAGCCTCTTGGTGGATGTCAACCGCATTCGCAATCTTGCCACCAAGAATGCCTTTGTTGCCCATGAAACCTCTCGACGCACATGGAAAGGGCTGACGCTTATGTGCTCTGAAGATGATCTTCAAGAGGATGGCTTCTCTGAACGCTTCAAGTTTGACTCCACACCTCCTCGAAGGGCAGTGCTGCGACGAACTCCATCTCTTGAAGACTCTGAGTTCTCTTCCTCTGTTGCAACTGTGAATGCTAGAGTGATCGAGGACGAAGACGATGCTACTTCACCGCCACCTCCTTCAGCATGCTTTGACACTGCTCCAAGTTTTTCTGCACCGCCGAACACCACTGACGACCCTGCTGCTTCACCTACTCTTCATGGGAACGAGTAGATGCTCTATGTCTTCAAACCTTTTTGGTCCTTACTGATAAAAGGGGGAGAAGCATATGAGTTGATAGTCTTCAAGCGGGTCCACATGGGCGGTTGCTTTATATTTTGCCTCATGTTTACAACTCTTGTTTTGATACTTTTGGTTCTTCGAGTTGTAACACCTAAACTCGATGGTCGTCTGCTACTTATTTGCCACTTTGTGATGCGATGATAAATTCCGCATGTGCGACGATAAATTCCGCACTTAGATCATTTTGCAGACGTCCATTTTCCATTATGCATGTCATTATCTTCACATACCTTCACATGCATAGTGGATTGTCATCATAAGTTGAAGAGGATCTCCACAAGCACAACATGCCATGTGCATTTGCATTCCAAAAGCAAATTACTTATATGCACATCTTCAGGGGGAGCCCTCACAGCTTATGAAGACAATTCCCTATCCTTTTACAATTTCACATATTATATTCCCCGTTGAAAACTTCAACTAGTTTGTCATCAATCACCTAAAAGGGGGAGATTATAAGTGCATCTAGTGCCACCCCTAGTTGGTTTTGGAGTATTGACGACAAACCTAGTTGAGGGACTAATGTGTTTGTGAGAATTGCAGGATAACACAGGTAGAAGTCCCTCATTGATTCGGTTTTCCTACCAGAGATGACCCCTAAAAATGTATGAAGACGTTGATGTCAAAGGTGGTATATGAAGATATTCTCATTGAAGACTATGACAAGAGAAGACATCGCATGAAGCCTATGGAGCTCGAAGACTTAGATCTATTGTAGTTCTTTTTCTTCTTTGTTGAGTCATAGGAACCACTGTACTGTTAAGTGAGGTCCAAGAGAACCAGTCAGAATGACTGAAGTGATGCTTAACCAAAACCTATGTCTTCAAGTGAAGACTATGAGAGCGAATCTTGTCCAGAGTCGGACAAGTCAGCTTTGCTTGTAGCCCAAGTAAAGTTGCCGTGTGTGTTTGAAATCTGACCGTTGGAACACGTGTCAGTTCCTTACTGACCCAGGGTCATTTCGGACAAATCAGGTCGGGTTGCCTAGTGGCTATAAATAGCCCACCCCCTACAACCATAAACGGTTGGCTGCTCAGAGTTAGAGTACGGCTTTTGTCGTTTGAGAGCAACCCACCCTGAAGCCTTTGAGAGAGAATTCCTTGCGAGGATAAAGCCCTAACCACCCAGAGCCAAAGAGTGTTGGGCATCACTTAAGTCTTCTTGTCTGTGTGATCTGAAGACTTATTACACTTGAGGACTGTGAATCCTCCAGTCGGTTAGGCGTCGCGTTCTGAGCATCCAAGAGACATTGTGGATCGCCGGTGAACAAAGTCTGTGAAGGTTTGGGAGTCTACCTTGAAGACTTACCAGAGTGATTGGGCGAGGTCTGTGTGACCTTAGCTCAAGGGGAATACAGTGAGGACTGGGTGTCCTGAGCTGCGTGTTCAGGACTGGGTGTCCGAGACTGTGTGTCATCAGGTTTAAATACCTAGCCGCCCTAACCAGACGTACAGTTGTCACAGCAACTGGAACTGGTCCAACAAATCATAGTCTTCAACAAGTCACTGGTTTCATCCTTCCCTTCCCTTTACTTACTGTTGGTCCCTGTGAAGTCATTGTATGATTGCACTATCTTTTGTCTTCACTCAGTGACTGCATGTTCTGTTTGGCTTCATAATATCTTCCTACCTGATCCTTACTACATTGCTGCTATTAGTCATTGTGCTTTTACTTCATTGAATACTTGACTATGGTTTGCCTAGTGTAGTCTACCTTTCGCTGCATGGTAATAGGTTTATTTCTATCGTTTGTCTTCGAAACTTCCACGTTTTGAAGACTTTCATAAAAATCGTCTATTCACCCCCCCCCCCTCTAGTCGATATAACGCACTTTCACTGGGTACCTGAAGGACATTGTTGTTGACAAGGAAGAAGGGGAGGGTTTTTCAAAGCCTTGCAATTAATTTGGTCCATCTGTTAGTTTTACCAATATTTTGCCCCTCTTCTCTTAAACCATGTATTATTAATATCCGACGGGACGATCCTCGCCCTTCACCCTCCTAGGCTTTTGGCCCATGGCACGACAACGACAACCACCTTCCCCGACTCCGACATGTTGCACCTTTCTCTCGACCACCCCCGATGAATTTCTTCGCCTTTTTCGACTCCTTGCAAGCATACGTCACACTCGACGAGTCTCTATTAAATTGCTTTTACAAATCATCTACCCTAGGCAGACATCATCTACCCCTAGAAATCGTCGTTGGCCACGTGGAAGAAAGAAGGAAGAGAGACTTCCATGTGGGTCTAGTACGTGTGAGGTTTTTTTTTGACACAGTACAAACGCAAATGCTCGTACATATGCACATACATTCACCCATGTGAATGCATGCACGCGCACCCTATCCGTACATATGCACATACATTCACCCATGTGAATGCATGCACGCGCACCCTATCCCTATGAGCACCTTTGAGAGACTGAGTCGTCACACCATCTTAAGATACACGAACTCGCCACAGACGCCTTCCTAGTCAACAGGAACGACTCCTCTCACTGAACGCACATCGCCGGAAGGGCTGAAATAAATTCAGAAAAATGCGAGCACCAACGTCATGTCTAGGACTTGAACTCTGTTGATCTGAAGATACCAGTGTCCTCCTAACTATCCAACCACAGTTTGGTTCACTGTGTGTGAGGGTTTTTGTTAGCTCTGCACGTGGAATGTGAGTAGTAAAAAATTTAGGAGTTCAACTAGAGATGCTCCAAGTGCACAAATTGCTGAAACTAATATGAGTAGAGTCCAACTAGAGTTTGCCTTATGCGAGCTTTTGCACGTGGAATATGAGTAGTATTTCGTCTATAAACTAATGTAACTATACAAGATCGTTTAGATCACGCAAGTGATGTAGAAGATCTTATATTAGTTTACAGAGGGTGTAGTAGTCCAAATTTAGGAGGTCGGCTAGAGATGCTCCAAGTGCACAAATTGATGAAACTGAGTTTGCCTTATGCAAGCTTTTCTTCCATTAAGCAGTTAGGTGCAAGCATTTGGTGAACACATTGTTCGTCTGATCCTGAAGTTGCAAAGCTGTGGAGTCCTACGCATCAATCATAAATGTGTCTCAAATCTGAGAAGATTTGGATTCAGAACCATGGAGCGGTTTAACTTTCGGAAGATGAGTTTCTGCTGCCCCAGAAGACGCCACACCTTTTGGCTTGGTGACGAGGTCAGGCCTCTCCAGGGCACAGAAGGAGCACTTGATAATAATAATTTAAAAAATTCATGACCACGCAACAGATGCTGCTATGTTTCTCTGGGGAAACACAATATGACACAGGATCAGTGTCCCTTTCTCCATCAAAACTTGCATTGCTTGTACAAAGAGCTCACAAACACAACAAATTGCTTTTTACAATAAAATTTCCCTTTCCTTTCCACCCCATATCATACATAAGCTAGCCCTGATCCCAGACCACCCGGCCCTCTTTTGGTGCCTCCAAATTGGCGCCCTACTGCCACAGGCGCCTTCGCTGCAGGCACATGGCAATCGGCTCGGCAGACCTGATGTATACTTCGAGCAATATGGAATTTTTAAGATCACAGATCGCGTCGAAGTATCCAGGACTTGGCACCGGTCGATTTCGACTCCTCACTGCACTTTTAGATTGTCGATCATATCCAGAGCTTTGGTCCTATCGATTTCAAAATTAATGACAGGAAGCATACTCCTGATCGATAGGAATTCTTTCCTGTTGCTACTGCTTGGTGAATGGCTGTTACTTTTGATCAACCTGCTTTGCATATGCCTTGCCTTTGTGTCAAACTCTTGGCTTTTGCTTATACCAGGAACGAATTTCCTGTATTTGACATCCCTTAGCATCTCTTGTTCTTGTTGTGTCAGAACAGGTGATGAACTGCTGGCTTTGTTTGGAGACAATGTGATTGAAGAGCCCCTTTGTGTAGGAGATCGAACAGGAGACTTGATGGGAGATCGCTCGCCATTCGCTGCTCTGGATTGACTGATGAGATGCTGAAGCGATACGACAAGCTCAAGGATATGCGCTTCGGTCTTGTCCCTGTCAGCATGATGCAGTGTCTCAATTCGGGTGAGGTCCATATGCCCTGTCGGCTTGCAGTTCACCTCTGACCTGCATAAGACAAAAAGATCATTCTTCAATATCCCACTTCTAAATTACGTAGTACTGTTCAAATTTGAATGAGGTTTACTAACCCTGTATTTGCCCACTCTCCAACCCAACCAAAGCCATGGTGAGCCCTGAAATGCACAAACAATCACATATCGTGAGTAACAAAAAGTAATGAGATGGCTGTAATTGGTTGAGTGATACTCCCTCCATTCCAAAATACTTGACTTCCATTTGTCCAAAATTAGATGTACCTATATACTAAAACATGTCCAGATACATCTATATTTTTACAAATGGAAGGCATGTATTGTGGAACGAAGGGAGTATGAAGGTAGCTTAGATTACTTGGTGGTGTTATTTGCAACCGGGACAAGCCACCGTAATGTCTTCTCCATTTCCGCCTTGATTTGAGAAACAGTAAGCTGCACCAAATCAGTACAATATTACATCAATCATAGAGTCATATGTAAACCATGGCAAGGTGTTGACTTTTGCGACTACTTTATTCTCTACTCATAAAGTCAGTGTCACTATTGAATATGTTGGGTGCCCTCTTGCATACCTCTTCCTTAACTCCAGATGAATGTAGCTTAGAACGGAGAGCAGATTTTATGGTCGGTGGCAAACTCTGGTATAATGAATCCCTTGTGTTTGGAGGAACAGAAGATGAGCGAGAAACCTGCCAATAGACTAACCCTTGTTAGATTGCCAGAGAAAAGCAACAGGTTGAGGTCTTTGCTAGCAGTTAGCACAACAACATCAAGCTGCAGACATGAAAATGTAATAATAATACCACACTAGTGTAACATTGTACTGATCCTTTGATTCCTTTCTTGTAATGCAAAGCACCATTAACTAAGTCATGTTAGTTTGAGGGATACGGGATATGTCATACAGAAATGGCACTCTAATGCATACGAACTGTCTGCTGGTACAGAAAAATGACAATGAATTTATTTTCAGACCACATAAAATTAGGGTGTCCAGTGGTGTCTGATGAACTTACAAGAGCATCAATCTGACTGATGATATTAGCATAATGCAGCGCAAGTCCTGCTGGACCCAATCTATTACGTCGTTTAGTAGGCTCCTGTGATTCTTCATTATCTATAGATTGGTAGACGCACAAGTCATAAGCAATCCAAAATACATAAGAAAATTGGAAGTTTAGCTTATTTGCATGTGCATGTCAATCTGTAACTGGAGATAGCATAGTTGTATCTTTAATAAGAAATCAAACGAAGACCATGTCTTCAATGTCAATGATCAATGAGTTCATAATGCCACATAGCATAAATCTACACTGCCAACACGTCTTAAGCACATATTGGTTACATGTAATGTGTGCTACATGCAATAAATAATAATTATGCCAACTGGGTAATGAGCAATGACTCAAAAAGTTGCAATTTATTTCGATAATACACAAAGGAATCTTGCGGGGATCACACAGTTAACGAGCACCTCGTATGTTTTTGAAGTGGCTTCCGCAAGTGAGGACATCAACTCCGCCTATGTTGTCTCAACATAGCCGGTCCCAAGCCCGGGTAAAGGAGGAGGGTTGTGATAGGCTTGGCGAGCCAACGTAAAAACTCAGCCATTCTTATGGAGATGAAACCCAAAAGGTTTTCGTTGGGGCGTAACCCTCTCAGCGACGCGCTACATCGGAACCCGGGTGTGGTGGAAAATGGGCAAGGGCCGGGCCGTCACCCCCAAGGTGGCGCGCTGTATCTTGATCCGGATTCGGTGGCAAGTGAGCGAGGATCGGGTCGTCGCATCCTTAGTGGCGCGCTACATCAGCGCCCGGATGTAGTGGAAAATGGGCAAGGGTCTTCGCATTTGACTCGACGAGTGCGAAGGGTAAGGAAGCTAGCCGAGCCTAGGAGGATTCGCTTAGGTAGCTGGAACGTAGGGTCTCTGACAGGGAAGCTTCGGGAGCTAGTTGATGCAGCGGTGAGGAGAGGTGTTGATATCCTTTGCGTCCAAGAAACCAAATGGAGAGGACAGAAGGCGAAGGAGGTGGAGGATACCGGCTTCAAGCTGTGGTACACAGGGACGGCTGCAAACAGAAATGGTGTAGGCATCTTGATCAACAAGAGCCTCAAGTATGGAGTGGTAGACGTCAAGAGACGTGGGGACCAGATTATCCTGGTCAAGCTGGTAGTTGAGGACTTGATTCTCAATGTTATCAGCGCGTATGCCCCGCAAGTAGGCCACAATGAGAACACCAAGAGGGAGTTCTGGGAAGGCCTGGAAGACATGGTTAGGAGTGTACCGATTGGTGAGAAGCTCTTCATAGGAGGAGACCTCAATGGCCACGTGGGTACATCTAACACAGGTTTTGAAGGGGCGCACGGGGGCTTTGGCTATGGCATCAGGAATCAAGGAGAAGATGTCTTAAGCTTTGCTCTAGCCTACAACATGATTGTAGCTAACACCCTCTTTAGAAAGAGAGAATCACATCTGGTGACTTTTAGTAGTGGCCAACACTCTAGCCAGATTGATTTCATCCTCTCGAGAAGAGAAGATAGGCGTGTGTGCCTAGACTGTAAGGTGATACCTGGAGAGAGTGTTGTACCCCAGCATAAGCTGGTGGTTGTTGACTTCCGCTTTCGGATTCGTGTCCAGCAGGATAAGCGTGCCAAAGTCGCTAGAACGAAGTGGTGGAAGCTCAAGGGGGAGGTAGCTCTAGCGTTCAAGGAGAGGGTCATTAAGGAGGGCCCTTGGGAGGAAGGAGGAGATGCGAACAATGTGTGGACGAAGATGGCGACTTGCATTCGTAAGGTGGCCTCGGAGGAGCTTGGAGTGTCCAGGGAAAGGAGAAGCGAAGATAAGGATACCTGGTGGTGGAATGATGATGTCCAGAAGGCGATTAAAGAGAAGAAAGATTGCTTCAAACGCCTATACCTGGATAGGAGTGCAGACAACATAGAGAAGTACAAGATGGCGAAGAAGGCCGCAAAGCGAGTTGTTGGTGAAGCAAGGGGTCGGGCATATGAGGACCTCTACCAACGGTTAGGCACGAAGGAAGGTGAAAGGGACATCTATAAGATGGCCAGGATCCGAGAGAGGAAGACGAGGGATATTGGCCAAGTCAAATGCATCAAGGACGGAGCAGGCCAACTTTTGGTGAAGGACGAGGAGATTAAGCATAGATGGCGGGAGTACTTCGACAAGCTGTTCAATGGGGAGAATGAGAGTTCTACCATTGAACTGGACGACTCCTTTGATGAGACCAGCATGCGTTTTGTGCGGCGAATCCAGGAGTCTGAGGTCAAGGAGGCTTTAAGAAGGATGAAAGGAGGCAAGGCGATGGGCCCTGATTGTATCCCCATTGAGGTGTGGAAAGGTCTCGGGGACATAGCGATAGTATGGCTAACCAAGCTTTTTAACCTCATTTTTCGGGCAAACAAGATGCCAGAAGAATGGAGACGGAGTATATTAGTACCAATCTTCAAGAACAAGGGGGGATGTTCAGAGTTGTACTAATTACCGTGGAATTAAGCTGATGAGCCATACAATGAAGCTATGGGAGAGAGTCATTGAGCACCGCTTAAGAAGAATGACAAGCGTGACCAAAAATCAGTTTGGTTTCATGCCTGGGAGGTCGACCATGGAAGCCATTTTCTTGGTACGACAACTTATGGAGAGATATAGGGAGCAAAAGAAGGACTTGCATATGGTGTTCATTGACTTGGAGAAGGCCTATGACAAGATACCGCGGAATGTCATGTGGTGGGCCTTGGAGAAACACAAAGTCCTAGCAAAGTACATTACCCTCATCAAGGACATGTACGATAATGTTGTGACAAGTGTTCGAACAAGTGATGTCGACACTGATGACTTCCCGATTAAGATAGGACTGCATCAGGGGTCAGCTTTGAGCCCTTATCTTTTTGCATTGGTGATGGATGAGGTCACAAGGGATATACAAGGAGATATCCCATGGTGTATGCTCTTTGCGGATGATGTGGTGCTAGTTGACGATAGTCGGACGGGGGTAAATAGGAAGTTAGAGTTATGGAGACAAACCTTGGAATCGAAAGGGTTTAGGCTTAGTAGAACTAAAACCGAGTACATGATGTGCGGTTTCAGTACTACTAGGTGTGAGGAGGAGGTTAGCCTTGATGGCCAGGTGGTACCTCAGAAGGACACCTTTCGGTATTTGGGGTCAATGCTGCAAGAGGATGGGGTATTGATGAAGATGTGAACCATCGAATCAAAGCCGGATGGATGAAGTGGCGCCAAGCTTCTGGCATTCTCTGTGACAAGAGAGTGCCACAAAAGTTAAAAGGCAAGTTCTACAGGACGGCGGTTCGACCCGCAATGTTGTATGGCGCTGAGTGTTGGCCGACTAAAAGGCGACATGTTCAACAGTTAGGTGTGGCGGAGATGCGTATGTTGAGATGGATGTGTGGCCACACGAGAAGGATCGAGTCCGGAATGATGATATACGAGATAGAGTTGGGGTAGCACCAATTGAAGAGAAGCTTGTCCAACATCGTCTGAGATGGTTTGGGCATATTCAGCGCAGGCCTCCAGAAGCTCCGGTGCATAGTGGACGGCTAAAGCGTGCGGAGAATGTCAAGAGAGGGCGGGGTAGACCGAATTTGACATGGGAGGAGTCCGTTAAGAGAGACCTGAAGGATTGGAGTATCACCAAAGAGCTAGCTATGGACAGGGGTGCGTGGAAGCTTGCTATCCATGTGCCAGAGCCATGAGTTGGTTGCGAGATCTTATGGGTTTCACCTCTAGCCTACCCCAACTTGTTTGGGACTAAAGGCTATGTTGTTGTTGTTGTTGTTGTTGTTGTTGTTGTTGTTGTTGTTCCGCAAGTGAGGACATCACAGGTCAGAATAATTATTTCGCACCTAAGCAAATGTTCGATGACGAGAATACACTAATATGTTCTTTAGAGGAAGGGGGTGAGAAGGATTGCTAAATCCCAGAGATGAGGTGACAAACTTGAAAGTCTGATCGGGAAGTGCCTGAACTGAGCTTATTTGGTTATGCAAAAGGCACTTCTGAGCTAAAGCTACAGATGTGTGCGATGCTTATCATAAGATCATTAGCGGAGATGAAACTGAAGTTATGGCACATTAATAAAAGGTGTATTTTCCACTAGCATCATATGATCATTAGTGGAGATGAAACTGAAGTTATGGAGCATTAATAAAAGGTGCATTTTCCACTAGCACGTTATCTAACCAGTAAAAAAGTAAAGAAATGACAAACTACACAACAGCCCAATATCTGCAAGAGCATGCAAGTTTTATACAAGACACAGTAATCACAAAGCTTATTACCTGAGCACCCAAAGGTATTATGGATCTCCAAATGCAAGAAGTGCACGATGTCTACAAGTTTTTCCATAACCTAGGAAGAGAGTATTATTTCTCGAATTAGAAGAACAGTATTGTGCAAGGAAATCCAAGTATGATTCCTCCATGGCATGCAGTAAGTGGAACTAGACAACATCAACATGAACATTCATTCCTAAAACTGCTGTTGCTGATAGCACAGAATCATAATGAAACTACCTACCAACCTCTTCCAAATTCTTGGACCAAAGAGACTTCTTCTTCAAACTTTTAACATGCTTCTGTTGGCTCTTGACCTCCTGCTTTAGTATGTGCAGACTCTCACCTGCAAACAAAACAGAACATTAAGCATCATTATCAAATAACGCAAACAAGAGAGTTAACAACTCTACTCATAAACCATTAAATGTTCCTTTAAATACACGTTAACTCGAAGGAACTGGTAGTTACCCAGAGGCAAGTGCATTCAAAATCTAGTGCTTACAGGGCAATATCAATATTCTGTTAAGGAAAACAAAAAGATAAATTATACAGGTAATAACAGTTGAGATTACATCACTAAATATTAACCCTAAAGCAGCAGCAGCAGTTGTGAGCTTGAGTTACATTTTCAAATATTACAATAGGTTCTGGAACTGGAAGTTGGTTAAATTGCATATGGGTTATTCCCATTCAAAGTTCAATAGCTCATCTTATTTATGGCTGGACCGCAAAGTATTTTAACAAGCAGGACAAAGCATACAAAAATAGGCCATGGTGTTGACTCACTGAACTTCAATATTGAAACAAGTGATGGACAATTGGGCATAGAACAAAGCTTTGGCTGATTTGACTTTGTTGGGTGTGGTCATGCAGCCATACCAACCATGGAGGTAGCCCTTAGATATATTGATCAGAATACACTAGTGGCAACCTACTGACAATTTAATTGGAGACACTTCGCAGTGAGAGATACGGCATTAGAGACCTTGACTCAGTAGATAACTAGGTATAATCAATCAAACTATCAGTGTCAACATGGCAATCCTAATTATACATTTACAGTTTGAATGTGGCTAATAGCATCAAGCATGTCTCTTAAAAGAAAGATTCTAGAGAAGTAAATATCCTGAGGATACTCAATCTTAACTTTTCAGATGACCTGAAAAGGAACCAGAACACCACCATACGAGACAATAAAGTATTCTTCATCCAAACTAGGAGTCTTAAATATCAAAGAATTCCTATGGATATTCCAATGTACTGCCATGCTAAAGAAACTGACCTCTTTGGGCAACACTTGAACCATCCTCTTCCTGCTGTTTACGTTGATAGTCCTGTTCAAATCTGTCAAGGGCATGCATTTCATGGTATAATTCCTGGAAGATAAAAGAAGAACTGAAGTCAACATTTTGAACAAAAGGTGCAACAGGAAAAAAATGGATAAATGCTAGAAGAATGACAGCCAAGGTTCCATTAAAAACTTCATTCCAAAGCTATTGGCAGGTGATATATACGCATCATTCTAGCATTAAAATTATGTTACTCCCTCCAATCCATATCGCTTGTCTTAGATTTGTCTAGATATAGATACAGATGTATCTAGACAAATCTAAGACAAGCGATATGGATCGGAGGGAGTATTAAAAACATGTCATTCAACCATTCTGAGATAACTTCGCGACATTTTTTCTCTTGTCTTTTGTACATGGAACTTGGTGGAAATGTAATTTTCTAAAACTCATGCAATCAGGAATCAAACGAGTTGTTCATTGCTCATAAACTGAGCCATCAAACAAATATTGGTCATCAACCTCTAGTCCGCTTTAGGCTACAGGCTCCGGTGACCCATGTATGTCCTCATGGAATATACAGCTCAACATTTGTGAAGAAACTAATACGCTCTTAATTATGTTCTGGACTGCTAAATTATAATTATAAACCTAGTAAATAATGGCACTACGAGATACCTCTTATAAGGCAAGTGAGCATTACTTACAGCTGTATATTGAACACAAGTCACCAATTTCTGCATCACTGATTCTGCCTCTTCTTTCAAGTGATGTTGAGGAGTCCGTTCTGATGACACCCTGGAAGAGTTTGATGCAGAAAGACGCTAAATTAACACTGCAAAAATGGTTATTGTCATCAAATGTAAGGGTCAAAATGAACCGAACTTGTCGAAATAGCGATCCAAGTTGTGCCACTGAGGATCCTTGCAACGGTTTCCAAAGCGAATAACTTCTGTAGAGAACACTTTCAACTCTTCCCTGTTGGAAACACACAAACTTCAATAAGGACACAATAGCACAAGTTAAGGTCCAACTTTCTTCATATACTATTGGTTCAACTATTCTGCAAGAAATAAATAGTATATTGGGCCAAATGTTGTAACTGGTAAAAGCAGCAAAGATTCAGAACAAACCTTTTGTCAGCAGCAGCAATCTTGAGCAATTCATCCATATCTTTGGCTACAAGATTTTGAACACCTTCTGAATGAAGCACCACTTCTTTTAAATGTTTTACGCTCTCTCTTGAAAGAGCTCGCATCAAATTGCAACCTTTCACTATAGTATTAGCAACCTCAAATGCCAAAATGGATATTTTGTTGCCCTTTGTTGTAGCACCTGATCCAAAACCACTACTTGGATTCAAATTTGTCATGCTACTGCCAAGTGTGTCTAGTACGTCCACTGCTTTGCCAAGCCCAACAGTACCAGCCCTACCCAGAATTGAGCTTACTTCCGAAACCTGTTGCATATATTAAAAATAGGTATAGGGTCAAACAATCTGTCACGTAGAAGCAACATTCTAGAGCAGTGAACATGAAGGAATATTTTGTGGAGAGGCAAGACATCTCTTTAGCAAGGGTAAAAGCGCCAAATAATTTGGCACAATAATTCATTTGCACGATTGGAATTGCTCAAATTACAGTAGATGTCGTAATAAAGGCATCATGAATTCAACAAGCTGAGAATATTAGTCTCAACTCTAATGAGTAATTATTACAAACCAATTTCCATTTTCCTTGTGTGGTAGGTTGCAGTTACGCAGCATTTAGTGTACCACTGTAGTGCACTTAGCTGCAGTGTGATAAGAATACTGAATCATCCCTTCACTAGTTTACTGCACTCAGACAGCTACAAACAATAACAAGTTTATAGCAAGCCATATCAGGTTTCATAATCCATGGCCTGGGCACATGAGATCACCTAGGGGGGAGGGGGGGGGTTACAAAACAGACTGCCGAGCAGCAAAACCGACACAAATATAATTGGGAAACTTATATGCTTGCAGGTCAATGCAGCATCCCACTTGAAGGATGTGTGATGATTGTTAACATGCCTATATTGGGTTCACATCCCTGGTAATTAATCACTCCTGGGCGGAATAGCGTCAGCAGCGAACAACATGTCCCTAGCAATTGACCACTGAAAGTGAAGCAACAAACCGACTTTCTGTAAATATGCTAGTAGATAATCGACTGCCTCTAAAAAGTGCTATGGGAACAACTTTGCAGTTCCTAGCACACAACCGCAGCAGCTAGCACAAACTGAATTGACACTAACAAATCTGCAAGTAACAAACCATTTTTTAGCTGATAAGACAGACACGCGGTGAATTAAGCTGCATTGCGCACACATTTACAGCAATTGACCATAGCACTCCTGGGCGGAATAGCGTCAGCAGCGAACAACATGTCCCTAGCAATTGACCACTGAAAGTGAAGCAACAAACCGACTTTCTGTAAATATGCTAGTAGATAATCGACTGCCTCTAAAAAGTGCTATGGGAACAACTTTGCAGTTCCTAGCACACAACCGCAGCAGCTAGCACAAACTGAATTGACACTAACAAATCTGCAAGTAACAAACCATTTTTTAGCTGATAAGACAGACACGCGGTGAATTAAGCTGCATTGCGCACACATTTACAGCAAAGCAAGGGGAACTAAGATGATGGGCAGAGCACTTGCCTTGGCAGCACCAGCTTTGGCCATGCCCATCCCTTTCTGGGACGGATTCCGAGCCAGCGAAGGCACACCATCCCATGGCGCCGAGCCAGCGCCAACGCTGGCACCAGAAGCGGCAGTTTCCGGGACAGAGATACGCTGTGGTTGCTGCTGCTGATGATGATGTTGTGGTGGTGGTTGTTGATGCTGTGGTGGTTGTTGATGTTGTGGTGGCTGCTGCTGTTGCTGCGGCGGCTGCTCGTGCATCCTCTTGGCAGCAGCCTCCTCCGCCACCGTCTTCCTCTCCTCCCCCTTCACCGCGCCACGCTCGTGGTGGTGGATCACGCGGTCGGGGCCGAGCGTGGTGTCGCTGGGCGACTTGTCCACCGCCGATCCCTTGGAGCAGAAGCTCCCCATTCCGTCCGGCCCTCCGGAGCAAACCAACCCCTAGCCCCCCTCACCAGCGGCCTCGCCTCTCACCACCTCGCAGGCGCAGAAGCGCTACAGCCTCCGGTCGATCTCCGCGCCGCCGCCTCGCATCCCACCACCAAGCCGATCCACGCGGGGGAGGAATCGGCCGGGAACCGCGCCGCGGCACGATCCCGGCGGCTGGCTCCAACCAACGAGCCGCCTGCAGACGCCAGAGCAACAGCGGCAAGTC